ATTTAACTAACCTTTTATTTGCCCGTCAGACCCTGCGACTGCTTTGTACAAGGAAGTTTCAACAACACCGCTCGATGTCACCCTGTCTCTGGGGAATGTTTATGTAAACAGAATGTGGAAGGAAGAACTTGTGAAAAGTGTAAGCCTGGTTACTTGATTTGCAAGGAACCAACGAATTTGGATGTTTATCTTGCTTTTGTTACGGCCACTCATCTGTTTGCGAATCGGCGGAAGATTACACTGCCCATGCAATTGAATCTTATTTCTACAAAGATACCGAGAAATGGACGGCGATTGATAGAATGGGTCGTTCTGTTGCACTGTACACAATACATCAGATCATAGTATCGGCTCTCAAGCAAGTTATGGATTGGACGCGGTTTATTTGGTTGCTCCTCCATCTTTCCTTGGAGATCAGCGTTTCTCTTACAATCAACACTTGAGATTCAATTTAAGAGTGAACGACGATTCTCCAGCCTCACAATTTGCCGATGTCATTATTGAAGGCGCTGGATTGACCCTTGCTCAACCAATACACGGTCAAGACAATAGTCTTCCAAGTCGAAACCAACGTTCTTACTCGTTTAGACTTCACGAAGACGCTCGATTCGGCTGGAGTCCGAGGCTGTCTGGGAAAGATTTCAAGTGTTTTGGCCAATTTAACGTCCATCAAGATTCGCATTGTGTACAATAGAGATGGGTCAGGTTATGTTGATGAAATAGCCCTGGAATCTGCCCAACGGGTGCATATGGTCGAGCAGCAAGTTGGGTCGAGCGATGAGTGTCCAGCAGGTTATGATGGACAGTTTTGTGAGTCATGTAAGACGGGATATCGACACGAACCACCGGGCGGGGGAAGTTTCGCGGTTTGTCTACCTTGTCAATGTAATGGCTACGCTGACTTTTGTGATCCATATACAGGTAAAGAGAGTGAACAAGGTGAAGGAAAATCACCGGTTTGATACTGATTCTGGTCTTTGGTGACGGTAACTTTAACAATCAATTTTCTTACTTTCTTTTCTTCCTCCTATTCCTATTCCCCTTCCACTCCCACTCCCACTTCCCATTTGCAATCTCTAACCAAACTTAACTTGATATTGGTGGTGGTTTCTAATTAATTCATGGTGATGGTTAATTTGTAAAGGAAAATGTATGTACAAACAACACCGGTGGTGATAATTGTGAGACTTGTGCTCGAGGCTATTACGGTAATCCATTAGACGGGACTGGATGTACTTCTTGTCCCTGTCACCGTAATGCGGGAGCTTGTGTTGTCTTACCTGATGAAAGTATAGCTTGTTTGGAGTGTCCTCAAGGTTACGGAGGTAATGATCAGTGATGAGCTGAATTGAGACAGTTAATTGATTCATGGATAAGTATTTGCATGGATGATTAAAATCATCAGCAACTAAGAAGAGAGTGAAAGATTTGCTAACATGAGAAACTCTTTCTCAAGGATGACTAACTCGACGTTAGGTTGCATGTGCTAATGATAATCTAGGTCGCTATTCACTGGGTTTAAACTAATTGTTTGTTTCTCGATCTTTGTAATCAGGAGCCCTCTGTGAGTCTTGTATCGATGGTTATTTTGGTAACCCGATAGCAAACAGTTCTTGCAGGAAATGCGATTGCAGTGGGAACATTGACGAAAACTCTGTCGGAAGTTGTGACCATGAAACGGGAAAGTGTTTGAAATGCATTTACAACACTGCCGGGGTAAGAGTCGAAGTGAATGAGTTTCGAATGGAATCACTTTATTGATGAATTTGTTTTCTTTTCACTTCCCATTAGGATCGATGTGAGAAATGTCTTCCCGGTTTCTTTGGTGATGCTCTGAGTTACCCTAAGGGAGATTGTAAATCTTGTGGTTGCCATAGAACTGGAACAGTGATGGGCAAGGGAGAAGATGGAAAAGAATTGGTTTGTGACTCTCGCAGTGGACACTGCGAGTGTAAAACTATGTGATGGGACGAAAGTGTGACCAGTGCATACAAGGCTATTGGGATATCAGTGGTGAGAATGGTTGCCAATCCTGTGGTTGTAATATGTTTGATCACATAATCTGACCTGCGATCAGTTCACCGGCAAATGCTACTGTCGACCTGGGGTCATTGGAACTAGTGTGACCAATGTGCACCTTATCATTATGGTTTCTCTGAGAAGGGATGTGCAAAGTGTGACTGTGATCGAATTGGATCCAAATCTCTGCAGTGTCGCGATAATGGTCAATGTGAGTGTTTGGCAAACGTGGAAGGCCGTCGATGTGAGCGGTGTCGTGAAAACAAGTTCAACCGAACTGCTGGTTGTATAGACTGTCCAGCTTGCTACGGACTAATCCAGGACTCTGTGAATGGGCACCGAGGTAAACTGAACCAGTTGCGATTATTACTGGAGGAGATACAAAACAGCCCTGTGGAAGTGGAAGATCAAAAGTTCGAAACACAATTGGAAGAATTGATCGCTCGCACTGAGGCACTGGTATCGGATGCTCGTCGAATGGGCTCAGATGGTCGAAACCTTGTCAATTCTTTGACCACTTTAAAGAACCGTTTAGCCCGAGTCAAAGAATTGACCTCGTTGGTTGACGGTCGGATGGAAGGGTTGAACAACTTGGTCAATTTTGGAAAGCAAAACATGAGTTTAGCAGAAGATATAATTGAAAAAGCCAATTTAATATTATCTGAAGCTAAAAAGACATTCGATCATGAAGGAAGAACTGCCTTGGAACATGCTCGCGAAAGGTTCAAAAGGTACGGACAGCAGTCTGAACGAATGTCCAGAATATCATTGGAATCGGTTGCTCTAGCAGATAAGATTGAAAAGAAGCTGAAAAGGTGGAAAAGTTGGGAAAGAAGCTTTGAACAACTCAGAAGAAGCGTCTCGATTGGTGAAAGAAGCCATGGTGATGCATTCGAGTAATCGTGAAGAGATTCGGGCCATTCAGAAACAATTGATCGATATCAACGATTTATTGGAACGAACAAGGAAAATGGCAGAAGAAGCAAAGAAAGAAGCTGATCGAGCTGCCAAAGATGCGCTACAATTGTTGACCGAAGCGGGCTCATTGAGTATTCCAAATGTGAACGCCTCGGGCATGAAACAAGATGCCAGAGAGTTGGTCGATCAGGCGGCTCGTATCATGAGAGAAGCGGATGCGATGATGTCACGATACGAGAATGTACTGAATGGAACACAGATCCAAATGGAGGATGTTCGATCTCTTCTGAAAGAGGCAACCAGGCAACAGAACAAAGCTTCCGAGTTGTTGAGCGAAGTGGACAAAGCTCATAAAACTGCAGAGAAAGCAGCTCAGGCAGCCAATTCCACTTTGACGGAAGCCACTGGAACTTTGATGACACTTCGAGGGTTCGATAAGTCAGTGAAAGAAAGTCAAGGACGAGCAGATGAAGCACTGAAGCGAGTACCACAGGTGGAAAAGCTTTTGAACGAAGGCAAAGCCAAGACACAGGAGGCTTTTGATGCTCTCACTGGGGCTTACAATGACGCGATAAACGCTCAGAGTATTGCAACCGAGGCTCGTTACATCGCTGGTAATGCTTCCGCTGATGCAAATGCGATTCGTGGGGAAGCAGGTAAAACAAAGGAGAGAGCGGGAAGAATGAAAGACGAGGTGGAATCATTGAACAGGGCTCTAGCCGATACCGAAGGTCGACTCAACTCATATGGTGAACAGACTGTCAACGACGAGAAATTGGCTTTAGAAGCTTTAGAAAGAGCTAACCAAGCCAAGACTAGTGCCATCGAGGCGAAAAGCAAAGTGTCTGGTGCACTGCAAACTGTTGATTCAATAATAAAACTCTGGAGGGTTTGGACTCTGTCGACGGTGGAAACATGAAAGAATTGGAGGTGAAACTGCGGGAAGCCGAGAAGGAATTGCTGACTGCTGATTTGAACAATCGAACAGAAGAGTTGAGAAAGTCGCGAGATGACCTGTCAGGCATGTTGACCAATTATCGCGAAGAACTTGAACAACTGAGAGCGGACGTCGCCAATATCAAAGACATTGCTTATGCTATTCCAACTGAGTGTCTGAGACGATCCAAACTCGAGCCATAATACTTGGAGTACCTGAATGTACATATGACCGGTGGACACAAATACTATTATACAAACAATACCAATAGAAACTAATATGCATCAATATAATAACAATTAGTCGCTGCAATTACCAATTAACTTACATTTTGTGGTCATTTTCGAGGGTTAATTTTGTTCACCCAATCAACTGTCATTATTATCAATCCAATTGTAATATTACTTTTCTCTTTTTTTCTTTACTAATCAATTTGGATCGATGAACGATCATTGAGAACGAAAATCAAGCCTTCAATTGTCTCATTTTTCCTTTGATCGAAATTCTAATCAAATCAAGCGAGTTCATTTTCTTCTGCCAATCAAACCTTTTCGATAGTTAATCTGTTGATACCAATTGAAATAAATGAATTTAAATTACACAATCAACCGATACTCGAATTTCATTCTTTAAATGTTCCCATTAAGATAAATAGTTGATCACATTACAAAATGGATTCACATGCTCATTGTATTCAAATCTTTTCATGATCAATTTATTTCTTAGTGGAAGCATAAAATATAACAAACCAACTAAAGCTTATGAAACAGGTTACATAGGAATGGAAGGTTGAATATGATAAAAAGGTGAGAGTTCAAGAGACAATTGCTCCAGATAACAAATGATGATTCGAATTAAAAACTCAATTTAAGGTTTGCATCTACGATAAGTTTATACAAAAATCACAGTCAAAGGGAAGGTAGAGAAAAAAGTTCAATGATTATGTGATAACGAAGAGTTTATGTGAGTGAAAATAAAAGGTTAAGTGAATAGAGTTAGATAAAGTTGACTAATTGATGGACATCAATGATTAACCAAAAGCTTGATAAATAAGAGAAGATCAACTGGTCTCAATTGCGTGAGAACATTTAACAGAATTTGACCCTTCCGGACAACAGAAATGAAAGAAATTTCGTTTCAGGAGACTCTTGGTAATCCAAAGCTCATCTGTTGAAGATCCCATGGAAAAATATTAACGATTAACGAAAATGATATCAAGGCATTTGCAGCCAATCCATTCAGCCATTAATTTGCTCGTCGATTTCAAATGATTAAAATTGGATGAAAAATTATATTTTGGATGATTGAATGTCGCTAAGACTGATCATATCATTGCTCGATGGACGATAGACTTCGACCCAAAGCCGCAAATCTTCCACCTCTGATGAGGGAGTCACAATCTAAAAATAAACAAAATGTAGACAATTGAATAGAAAATGTCATCAAACAAAACATTTACGCCATCACCTCAAATACTTACATTGTTGTTTCCGGTTTTTGGTACGTAGTTATCGTTGATGTAACAATGCTTCTCATTTTCGAGGAAAGGCCAGAGACTAGAAGTTTGTGTAAAAATGTTTTTTTGTGTCTTATGGTTTAAACTGTTACCGATGAAGGTTCCAAAAAGAGATGAGTATGAATGATACAATATCGATTGCTAGAGAGAGAGAGAGAAGAGAATAGAAATCAGAGAATATGCTTGTAGGTAAAACAAAAGACTTACGAGATAAACAACATTGAATTCAAATGCTTCACTATGTTGGAGAACTATTTGGTAAACACAGTCAAGCCACTGTTGGAAGATTGGACATTTTTCATAAGAATTATCGTCTTCTGGCATGACCCCGTGCCTGTCGGCGAACTTGTGGCCAAACTCGATCCATTCTTTTTCAACCAAAACTCTGAAACCATCATAAGTACGATAATAAGGATCAAGCATGAGTTGAACGAGAGACACAAGTTGAGGTGTCCGATCCCATCCATCTGAACAATGGACCAAACATGAACGGTCATCTTCAATGGCTTCTGAAATGGTGACAGCTGATTTAAGTAGACAAGAAATGTAATGAAGCCACTTGGAGCTACTCACGAGACTCTCCCAACTGAAAGACAAATTATTCAATAAGATTAATACTGAGACGAGACAAATAATTGGTGTCAACTCACGCGTCTGAATACATATCACAATTTTGAAGATAACGTAAAGAGTCAAAGCTTTTCTAATACTGTGGATATTTGCTAGTCCCATGAATTGAATGTCACAATAGGGATAATATTCGGTGCACTCACAACCACCCCTTTGGCTCGATTGACCATGGCCACAGTGTAAGACCGACAATCAACAACCATCATGTGTTTTGTATAGGGTCAATCTCATTCTTTGATAGATTGGATTCATTTTTGTCTTCATTAGTCTCTTGTTTGATTACTTGGTTGACTTGTTCATCTGATTTTTCATCTTGCTCAATGGGCGTGGGTTTGTGTTTCGCTCTACTCAGAACCATTGAACTAGTGGCAATCAGGTGAATAAGTTTCTCATCGGTATCAGAGCGTGAACCCCATAGGCCTACATAAGGTTGACTACTTCTCGCAATAACACATCCGTTTTTGTAATATCTCCAAGTGATGACAGGCAGTCGATATTGATAGCGGAAATTGGCCACAATCTTGAGTTCGTCGTCACTTATCTCAGCGGGAACGATTAAAAAACGAGGATAACTTGGACAGAGTTGAAAATCTTCATTGGCTGTACTGATTCTGTACCGAGGTTTCTCTTTGGGTTCTAGTCCGTTTTCAGAGACATTGGTTGTGACATCCTGATAAGTGACGTGATTCGGACTGGCATAGCCGAAATCCTCGTCGAATTTGAGTCTGCAGTATTCGAAATACGTCAAAGATTCTTTCATTTCAAGCGCATTTGCTGAATAATTAAGATCTGGTTGCAAAGGCGGTTTTTCGTCGGAAAGACTAACAATACATGTGAGTTGATCGACTGCGACTGGATTATCAGGATCCATTGATTACGATTGGTGACAAGGAGAAAGAGACACAAACAGAGGACAAAGTGGGGACGACGATCAAGGACGAGAACCAAAGACTAACTAACCACTGGAATAATTGTAAACAATTGACTCAATTGATGTAAGGGAACAGGAAACGTAGCCATTAATGGGCGTGGACAATTTTATTGATTTCATTGGTGGGGAAACAACTGCGAGTGTGCAGACTCAAGACTCACTTGAATTAATTACTAATCATTTCGGATTAAAATTAACCGATTTTCTATTGACCAATCAGTTCAATAGACGAGCATCAATCAAATCACTCGATTAGCACAAAGGACAATCAATTGTCTGATGTTCTCCCAGACAAAATCATTTTCGTTGCGATTTCACATCAAGTCTTTAGAACTTCGACAATTTTGTTCTTTCTGAAAGTTGGACATTTCGAACGGTTCGATTTCTTTGGATAAACTTTTGTAGAGTTGAACAGCTCCGATCAGATCGATGGGACAACTTGGTTTTCATGATATTCCGAAGATTTTTTTTCTTTTTTCTTTAGGTTCCGCCAATTTCTCATTTTGATTATACAAGAAAGATCAACTTCTCGATTTGATTTTTGCAACAGTTTAATGTTTAATAAATGATTTAATTTGTACAATCACAGAAAAAAGTTATCAATTTAAGCCATAAAGCAACCAAGTATTTTAAGGCATAAGCTCGTATTAATTTCATTTGATTTCTTGTTCATTGATAACTTTCCAGTTAACTGTTTCAATGGGTGTTGATGGTGTCGATAAATATTGCAATTAATTGGATCATGACCAAGATTCACCATGTTCACAGATGAGGAACATAGTCTAGGGCAAATTGTACCTTCATAAAAAAATAGAAACGAGAAAAGGAAATGGAAATGGAAATGGTTAAGGTTTAAAAAGTGGAAACAATCAAATGAAAGAAGAGATAATAAGTTATACAAGGAATACAAGGAATACACATTTTGTGTTCACATTTCGTTAAGTTATTGGAAATAATTGGATTTGGTGGGAATGCAATTGCCATTGGTTTCGAATCATCATAATTTTGCTTGATTGTGGAAACATCCGAAAGATGAAGCAACTTGGCTCAATCTTGTCAGAGCTAATTCCAGTCTACTCTCAGTGTAGCTCAGCACTAAGCTCGCTCAGTCTACATTACATTGTATCTAGAAAATTGTGAAATATTTAACAAAGATTCAACTACTTTCACCTCGAATTACAAGTGATAACATTGATGAGATGATCAGGAAAAATTGAAACTTGGGGAATTCAATCAAACAGGAAGACCGGGTAATAATACTAATAAAATGCTCTGGTAGCAATCAACAGGTAAGAGCAATCAATGAAATGCTCATCAATCGAGGAGGTTTGTCAAGTCAGGTGATTGACCAAAAGAATGTTCGCAGTCAGATAATCTCGTTCTTTTGCTTCCGGGCAAACACTTACAACAAGTTATTAACTGAAAATCTATTTGCATTAAGCCCTAGAACATTATTGTGATTCATGTCGATATTATTGTTGTTCTTGTCCATCTCATTGACTTTTTCGGTTTTCATGGGTTCGGACATTGCAGGTGGTGGAGTTGTTGTTTTGGATGCTTTTCTTGGTGAAGATGCTGATGACATTGACATTGTCGATGTCGATGTCGATGTCGATGCAGTTGGTCCATCTTTTATCGAGACGGATAAAGTTGCTTCGAGTGGTGAAGATGATAAACACGATCCATTTTTGGATTCTTTTGGACTTGCTGATAGTCCTCGTTTGTCATTATTTCCATGGCTTTCGCTGTTGTTATTGTTGTTGTCGTGGAACTTGAATATGTGATCTTCAAGTAATGTCGCTGTGGAAAATCCCAATGAACATATTGAACAAATGTTCCCACTTCTTGATTTGTGTGATTGAGTTTTCCGATGACGATTCAGATCAGATTGGGTTACTCCATTATAGTTGCAGGTATGACATAGATATTGTTTGATTCCTGTGAAAGATTAAACAACAAAAATATAGACATAATTAGTTAATCGTCAAGGTAACAAAATTAAGAAAGTGTCCAACAATTGAGCTTAATAACAAAATCGATCAACAGATGAACAAGTTTTACTCACTGATCCATGTAACTAATGTTTACAATGTAATCAGATAATTCAATTCAATCAACTCAATATATTACAATCAAGTTTATATATTCGAAACTAAAGAGATGCATAAAAAATGTCAATCTGATTGATTATAAAGTCCATAAGATCAAAATGAACTTCGCTCAATCGAATCAAAGCTTTTACCACTAATAATCTCTCGAAATAAAGTTAAAAAAATAAATAGGAACTGATATAATTATACATTTTGGTAATAACTTATAAATGGATAACAATAAATTGATTCAATAATAATTTATTATTAAATTAAATTCCCGTAAATACTTGCTAACAATGAGTAAGCAATGGAAACAGGGTGACAATAGATGAATAATAATCATGAAGTTTTTTGGTGTTTCAACTGTTCAATAGATTGAGAGTAACGAAGAAGCGATTGAATAATTTACAAGCAAATCGATGATATTTAGAATTGACCAATAAAAGATCAAAGCGTAGAAGTATTAATATTGATAATCGATGCATAAAGTATTAAGTAGATGTTTCAAATTGTATTGTCGTCATTTCTGCTAATCATTAACGTGAATCATTATTATTTATGTAAGTATGACATAGAATAATTTAATGAAGTTAAATGATGAAATAATTAATACTAATTATTAGAAAAGAACAAAGAAAATCCAATTAACGATATCAAGTGGTTATCTAATTTCTTGAAATATTTAACTATTACATTGATGATTTGGTTGATTAGTTTAATGAATAAATTTATCTTTAAATATACAGTTACAAAACGAAAGGAATTAATATTATTAGAAACAAAGCTTAACCAAACACTCGATTCATTTAATATATTGAAAACTATTTTTCTCCCTCTCTTCATTATTTTGCAATTTTATTCCAAATAGTAATCGCAACTATTATTGTAATTAAGCAAAGTCAAGTGTATTCAATTAACCAGTGGAATTATCAAGTGAATTTTTAATCATCGTGATTCGTGTAAGTGCATTAGTTAATGACGGAAAGTAAAACAAAAGAATATCGGTTTAATTTCATCAGTGAATAAAAATGACAAAAGATAATAAGAGTAACACGACAAGTATCATGGAGAACATGCCAATAAGAATTAGAGTTATGGATATGTACGTTAAGAACTTGATTGGTGTAAAATGAGAACGAGGTGGACATGAAGAGAAAAGAGGATGATTGAAAACAGAAAGATGAAAGAATAGAAGGAAAAACAAGACTAAAATTATACGAAGATCATGATGAAATCAGTTTCACGCATGGAGATTGACCCAAATAAAATACAAAGTAAGTTTCTGATGACATTGGATTAACATCAATCGATTGAAGAAGTAGATGGAAGAGAAATGAAAAACTGAACAAAAGAGGAACTAATATTTTTGGGAAAAGATATTTTTCAACAAAATGGTGGGTAGTGTCCAGCTCATGTGTAAAACTGTCCAGAAATAAAAGAAGGTCTAATGACCAAAGGTAAATGAAGTCAATTCGATCTAAAAATAATAAAACCTACAGAAAGAAAGAGGAATAATATGCCTAATACGATGGATCATTGATAATTCAACAAATTTAATGATAGTCTAAAGTGAGCAAAATAAAGCGAAAAGCAGAAAAAATCTAGAGAGAATGAGAGCAAATAAGAGAGTGAAAGAGATGTTTGAAATTGGAATTATCATCATTAAATAAAGTTAATCACGAAATTTAGTTGAAAACTCACCAGCATGTCTCATAACATGAACTTTAAGTTGACTGTTTGTGCGACTTTGGTAATCACAGAATTCACATTTAAATGGACGAATATCTAATGAGTAAATAAAGAAATAAGATATTGAACAAAAAAATTATCAACAACGAAATGAAGATTGTATGTATAAAAGTAATTCATCAAGATTACCCTTACTCTCATGGAATCCAATGTGTCGATTGAGATCAGAGGATGAACAAAATGTCTTTTGGCAGTGATCACATGGATATAAATATCTACCATCGGGTCCAATCATTGGTTTACTTTGTTTACTCCGTTTTAATACTTTGTCAACCAGTGCAAGTCTTAAGAAATCAAACAGATCAAACAGATCAAAATTAAAACGATGGACATCGTGTGGTCAACACACAATCATAATTACCTTGGACTGTAATTCGAGAAAAAAGCTCCATGTGATCTCAATTTACCTTCTTTGGAACATTTATTTCCATCTAAAGAACCATTGAGATCATTGTTATTACAGTTACTGTTGGTCTCATCAGCACAATCCTTGACTCTCTCATCTTCCGTCCTGTTGTCCTCTCCTTTCCGTACAGACACGACCATCGGTGTCTCCTGTTCATTGGAATCATCACCCTGACCACAATAATCAGCAACCATCGCATTATCTCGGCTCTCTTCCTCTTCTTCTTCCTCTTCGTCCTCCTCTTCGTCGTCTATTCCATACGAGTCTTTATTCCCCTCCCTGCCCCCATACTCATTTCCATCTTCCTCTTCATTTTCATATTTTATCTGCATCTTCTCATCATTTTCGTCTTTTCTCACAAATTGACTTGCAATGTTTTCAGATAATTCGGACTCCTCATCACTTCTCTCAGTCGATTCTATATTAGTTATTTTTTTACTTGGTTTGCTTTTTCTACGACGAGAAGATGAGGACGATGAAGAAGATGAAAAAACTGCACACATTTTGTCACCATCTTCGACATAAGGTTCTCCATTTGCATCTGATCCAATCTCGTTATAATCAGAGTTATTGCAACTCTCTCTGTTTCTTGTTTTGCACTTGTACTCTCGTCTGACCGAGACCGAGGCCGAGGCCTTTCATCAGATTGCTTCTCCTCTCTGGTCTCGGCCATTTCGTGGCGACCCTCGTTATCACGAGCACTATTGTTTTTATCACTTTGCTTCTTGTCAATTTCCTCTTCCCCGATTGCACTCGCTTCTAAACTTGAGTTGCTGAGAAGACGAACAGCAGCTTTCTTTAGAAATGATGCTGCCGATATCGACTTTTCTTTGCGAACTCTTTTCAAAAGTTCTCGGCCACTTCCATCGCTATGGAATCGAATGATATGATGTCGAAGATTTCTTTTCTCACTGAAACCTCGACCACAAACCCTACATATGCACGGTTTATACCCTGTGTGAACTCTTTCATGGCGATGAACTGAAAATATACGATCAAATGTTTTCTCACAATAACGACACTTGAACTGACCAGGGGCTGTTTCTTCAATATCCCCGATAGGTTCTCGAATTTTTCCTCCACCTCCTCCTACTACTTCACCAACATTTAAAAAACCACTTCCATTTCCATTGATACTGCCTGAAGAAGATGACGACGAAACAGAGCCGGAACCTGTCCCAAGTCCTGATGTCGATGCAGGTCCTGAAGTGGTCGTCGTTGTCATGGTGGATATTCCTGACACCATTGATGCAATACTTTGAAAATGTTGATGTAACTGTTTGTTTTCTCACTCTGAGATTGATGTTGAGATGAGATGCCCGCAGCAAATGCTGCGGCTGCCGCTGCTGATGTTAATTGTGATGCGGTTGGCGGTGGAAATGATAGTCCAACCGATGGCGGCATTAGAGACGAATGTAAAAAGCTTAGTGGGTTCATCGGTGTAATATTATTGATATTATTATTTGAATCAGCAAACAATGACTCAACTTTTAAATCAATTGGCTCATCCATCACCATTGAGGAGACTCTCGCGACTATTGGTATTGTTACTATGATTATTATTATCATGAGCATTACAATTATTTATGTTATTTTCATTATCAAAGTTTATGCAATTATGCTTGATAATGTTATCATTATTATTATTGTCGTGGTTAAGGTTGTTGTTGTTGTTGTTGTTGTTGTTATTAGCATCACAAATTTCTGACTTGTGTTTACGTTTCAGACACAAATTCAACCCTTGACCAACATCTTCTCGTCCATTGATTTCTTCCTCTGATTCTATTTTATTTTAGCTCTTTTCGTTTCGTCACCTCCTTGATATTAATTGTTGATCCCCACTCAAGTAGGGATTCATGAAAACTAAATTAGGTTGTAGAAATGAAGGCATAACCAATGCACGTGATTGTTGTTGTTGTTGCTGCTGTTTTTGTTGTTTTTGTTGGTGGTAATGTTGATGTTGATGTTGGGGGTGTTGGTGTTGTTGTTGGTGTTGCAAGAGTTGCTCTCTTTGATGCTGTTGATTACTGTGAGAATGATGAGAATCTTGTGGTAATTGTAGATGAGATTTGCACTTGTTTGAACTTGGATTTATACTATTGATAGACTGATCCATCACTTTATGCAATTGTTCGTGTAACTGTAATTCACTTTTCCATTTAAATGTTGCGCCACATTTATCACAAGTTAAATTTAAATTGTTTGAATGCATTGACTGAATATGAATACTGACAGGTTCGAGGCTGGGAAAAGCGAAACCACATAAACAACATTTATACAATGAATACAATTGCTCATTCGTTGGATGAACACCTTCGAGAATGGATATCAATACCTTTTCTGATTTAATTTGTAAATTTCGCGGAGATAGGATATCGCCTTGTAAACCGAAATCAATCAAAGACATTTGAGATGAATTCATTAGTTTCTCTTTGTTGGTCGAAGATATTGGTGTTGAAGATGTGGATGATGAAGATGATGATGATGATAGTGCCAGTGATGATACAAGAGGTGATGGTGAAGGTGGTGTTGTAGTTGTAGTTGTTAATAGTGATGATGTTAATGTGGATGATGCAAGTGATGATGACACTGTGGATGAAGGTAGTATTGGTGGTGGTACAATTGGTACAGTGTTGTTGTTTGACTTGGATGATGATTGAGATGAATTTGATGATGCAGATGGATAGGAACTCAAAGCGATAGGAAATTTCAGTCCATTCAAGATACTTGGTTCAAGAAGACCAAGGCCAACAGGACCAGAGGATAAGTTCAAACCTGTCAATTGTAGTGGATTAGTAGATAAATGATGACGCAGATCACTGGAAATCTCATTGACAACTAGACGATCATCACAACTATTAGCCTTTCCACTCGTGGAAGAGGTTGTATTGTTGTTAGAGGGAACATTGTTATGGTTATTAACGATCAAATCGTGCGGTGATGATAAACCACCTTGCAGTTGCGAAACTAGTCTTCGGCCATCAACGTTACTTGTACCAAATAAACTTGCCTTATCATCGGGCACTTCTCGTTTCATCTTACAGCTTTTTCGATTCAAAGATTTCAAGTTAAATTGTTCATTTTTACCAGATCCAATATTGTTGTTACCACTGCCGCCAGCACCTCCACTGGAGGCTCCATTCTCTGCACCATGTTGACTTTTTATATGAAAGTCCAAAGTGTGATCATATTTGAAACCTTTACCACAAGCAAAACAAACATATGGATGTTGGGTGATATGTCTCATTAGATGTGCTTTAAGATCTACTTGGGTTGCGAATGTTTTATGACAATCAGGACAAGGAAAGCGCTTACCGTTGCGCCACATTTATCACAATTCAAAAACAAGATTGTTGCATTGGTTGAGCAACTGAACATAGGAAGGTGGTCCGATTGTCAAATATAATAACTATAAACACTATTCACAGTCGATGGACTGTCAGGTATTGATCACCAAATAAGAGAAAATTCATCAGTTTTGTGACTCTTGGAAAGAGAGAAGCTCAATTGCTGATGTTAGAAACATCAACAGTAAATAAGATTAGAGTAATAGGAAATTCATTGCAGATAACAAACACATTGAGAGAGTCGGGGCGGAACCAATGGTTTATTTTAATGTTTAAAACATTCAACAAAACAAAGTCACAAGTGTATCAATGATTCCAACATATTTAATGATGATGATAATGATGATGTTATCCGTTGATAAATTGAAAACAGTTATATACACAAAATGATCTCAGAAGAAACAAAACTCAATAAGTGAACAAATAAATTACAATGAAAATGAAAACAAGTGAAATCAAATGAAAGAGAAAACAAGAAACTAAATCCAAAATCCACAAGGTGCATGAGCACAGAATTTTTTTTCTTTTCTAAATTCACAATAGATGTCACTTTTTTTCTTTTCTTTCCACTTTCGTTCTGTTTTTTTCTTCTCTCAATATTGTTCTTCGTCTCTGGTTCATTAACGAAAATCTAAAATTAAAATGAGGAAAAAACGTTTAGTTTTTACTATTTAACCAAAGTAGAAAAGAGAACGAAAAATTAATTCTATTCAGAAATCGTAAATGTTTCCTTTCACCTGATTGGTCTCAGACCATCTTGTGATAAATTGTTGATCGCTGATCGACTTTCGATTATCTTGAACACGAGGCCAGCAGAAAGTTTTGCTTGAGCGTAAAGCAAAACTTTCTGCGGGTAGCAGTTGGGTTAATTTCTTAATTCATTTACGAAGTCACATTGGTTTTGTTGGACAAGAACCTGTACTTTTCAGTGGTACCATCGCTTACAATATAACCTACTTTCTAGAATATCATGTCTCTCAAAGTGAGATCGAAGATGCTGCCAAACAGGCAAAGATTCATGATTTCATTCGTGATCTACCCCAAAAGTACGAGACTGTTGTCGGAGAAAGGGGAATGCTCTTGAGCGGAGGTCAAAAGCAAAGAATTGCAATCGCTCGAGCCTTGATTCGTAAGCCAAACATTTTACTTTTAGATGGAGCGACTTCCGCATTGATTCCGTGACCACATTAATTAACTGCGATTATTCCGAAACAAATTGTTGTCTTTCAATTAGTCACAGATGAAATCCTTTCTTCTTTATCAATATCGAGAGAAACATATCTTGGCTATACTTCCGAATACGGTGCATTCATAAAGCTAATATATGAAGTCTAGATGTATCCAAGAAGATTGGATTTTTCAAAAAAGCGTTTTTTATCGAATCTCTTAAGCACAAGTTTGCATGAAACTAGCTATTGTTAATGGCACACGTATCCTAAAATGCTTTGAGAGAGCACCTACAAGAAAGCACTCGCAAAAGTACTTACATTAAAGAAGCGCCTTGAAAACAATCCTTGAGTGAGCTCTTTAAGGTAACGTTCCGAAACCGAAAAGTTATTTTATTGGTTTGCTTTTGTGCATATTCGATATGCTTTACATAGTTGGCCGGAGACTTATATCACTCTGTGGTAAGGTAAGTCTCCGGGCCAAAGTACTTATACATGCATGTGTTCCCGTCAGACAGGCTGACGGGGGGCATATGAGGTTAGGTTTTACATGTTGTTGTGAGATTGTGACTTTCAATCCAGCCGTGCACTACCAGCTCTAACTGTGTAAAAAGCAGTTAGACCTGGTGGGATGTGTAATGTCACATCTACGGTGGAAGCTGAAACAGAGCCCTTACATTGTCGATTAAAATGCTGTACATAGCTTACAAATATGACTTTCCTATCATATAAATCAATAAAAATAAGAATAACAACTTGTAGCCATACATACATACATATATGCAGAATAAATAGCCGAGCGTTAATGTCGAAAGTGTCATCGGGCTTGAAGGATCTGAAGGCAAAATGTTAAGCTGCATAGGCTAGCTAGGTGCACAGGGAACCTGAAACACGGCAGGAGCACCGACTCTTATTGTGGGCTGAAATGCCTTTCCTGGGACAATAGAGTATAAAGAGAGACTAAGGCAGTAGTATTGATATGGTATAACCGGGCAAGAGCATCAGCTGGAGCGACCAAATTGAAGTAGTATGTTCAATCATTTGAGTTGATTGGGGCAAAGCATACTATGGATAGGAGGGAGTGAAAGCGAGCATTGCTTCTGATTCGGAAGAATGCTCCTTACGGGTCAGACGTTCCATACTACTGCCTTATCAACGACGCCTCTTATAGACACTCACGCTCTTGTCACCATAATCTTTCCAAGAATATCACTGACCAAAGCTTGGATAATAGACCTAGGGGACCCCTAGTAGGGGTAAAAGTGTGTACAAAATACCAGTGGGTCATGCTGGACCTATTGTTCTACTCATCTCAAAATTCTTCAATTGATAGGGTTCATGCGAGGACAATCCAGTATAGTGCCTGGGGAGGGTAACAGACTGAGTTTGCGCGTATGGTTAGTATATCACGAGAGAACGCTATATTAAAATAGCTAGTACCGCCCGGTGAACAGCTGTAGAGCTAGAAAGGTTGTCTAACTTGTGGACTGGACCTCAGTGTTCGTGTATAGTCCTACTTAGTCATCTTTTTATGAGTTGAAAAGCTGATACAAGCTCTCATTTTCCTATGGGATTAAACTTTTCACTTGTGCAATTTTAAAATTGGAACTTCAGCCTCACTACCTAGTGTGGTAGGGGGCCCTATTTCACGTTGCACGAGATAAAAACTTAGAAAAATTTTATATGAATTTTCTGTCTTCCTCTGCTTCACCCTACCGCATATGTTTACATTTACATGTTGCTTGGACCTCGATCTGAAAGGTACCGTGAGAATTTAAGTCTTTCAAGAAGAGGATACAAAGTGATCATATTCTTGCTTCTTATTTCGCTGTCGATGATTTAACCGAGATAATCCAAGATGGTGTACAGGTCGTTGTCTTTCGTTTCGCAATTCCAGAGTTTCGTTTATTGTGTTGTTTCAGACGATATATTGTAACAACTTTCTAGTTGAAACTTAAAACTAAAACTGATTAAGGTTAAGAATGAAGATAATCTTTATTAGCAAAGAGCTTAAAGTAAAAAGTGCAACTGCACTCAAAGATTTACAGGATTATATTGCCTCTCGGGTCATAAACTAAGCTCCTTTTATCCTCCGGTGGGAGTTCTCGTAGGGTCAAAGTTGGTGTTTAACTCACAAAGAGCTTTGATTGGTTAAAATTTAGGGTTGGTCAGTATAAGAAGCGTGACAATATCTTAAATGTGAACGAGAATGTAGTCGATCGATATCGTATTTGTGTGTATCGACCTCTTAATCGTCGCACCGATTTGGAGTTTGTGAATTTATTAAGAGGTCCCCTTGGATTATCTGCTGATGGCTTTGTGTTCGTGGAAAGAAAATTAATCAATTGTCATTTTTATTTATTTATTGATGTTACTAGTGGGGTATTGGATGTTTTGCTAAGAAGAGGTAAGTTCAACCTTAGAATTTTAATTGATTAAATACTACTGTTGTAATACCACTATTGTTTCTATTTTTGTTTCCCAGGTATGCAAGCCTCTGTATGGGAGAAATCGTTCTATTTTTGTAGTAAAGTCTCGTACTTTCTAGTGAAGGTTGGTCATATTTGTCGGTCAACTGTAATCTGTTATAGGTGTGGTCATTTATCACATCAAAATGGCTGTAAGAAGTTCAAATGTCCAACTTGTAATCAGCACCACGGAAAGAAATTGGTTAAATGCACTGAGACCTTTAATCGAATTCTGCGAAAAATGGTTAAATATCGGGTGACCGAAAATGAGTGAGCATCTCAGGAACCACGAAAAATGAAGACATGAAAATTTCAGTTATCAATGTATCGACCTTCTAAATCAATAATTTGTTTCATTCGTTTCGGTAGGTCATCAATAGCGTTTTGAAAGTAACCGAAAGGTCGACTCTCTTTCCATTCGTTCAACAACTCTTCTTACTCTTTCTGGTCGCTATAACTTCGTTGTCTGACCTTACATTTCAAATTTCTAAACAGAAAATAGCCGCTTTGGCTTAGATCTGGGCTATAAGGTTGGTGAGGAATAATATAAAATCCGATCTGTTTTAGTTTTTCTTTTGTTACGGCGGCAGTATGAGGACGAGCGTTGTCCTGTAAATAGTGTATGAGTTTACCCAACAAAGATGGCCTTTTTCCTTAATGGCGATAATTAAACGATCAAGAAGATCACAATAATAATCAGCGGTAATTGTAGCACCAAGGGGTAAAAAGTCAAACAATATTATTCCGTTTAAGTCCGAAAAAACGGACAGCATTGTCTTCTGTTTGTTCAAAGTAGGCTTTTCCCGTTCTGGCCTTGGTTCATCCTCAAAGCACCATTCTGATGAGCCATGAATTCCAGAATCAGGTTCATACGATATCCAAGTTTCATCTGTAGTTATGATTCTTTTTCGATAATGTCCCCAATTAGTTGAAAAACGGTCAAGAAAAGTTCGTGCGTAGCTTATTCTTGCCTCTTTTTGTCTATCTGTAAGCTCTTTCGGTATCCATCTTGCAATCTTTTTTATCATCTTGAGGTCATTCACCAAAATTGACCCAACACTTTCTCGAGGAATCCCCTTTTCACTGGCTATCTGTCGAACTGACATTTTTCGATTTTGTCCAACTAGATTTCGAACTAAGTCCACATTCGTTGGAGAAGTCCTAGCTTTTTCCGCTACCTGTGGTTACAGAGATGCTCACTCATTTTCAGTCACCCGATATGTGAATGTACTTGATGAGGTGTATCTCGATGTTCATTTGTCACACCATGGAACAGCTAATGTACCTGTTTAAAGATTTTCACTGGATAAATATTAATTAAAAGTCTTAATCATTATTATTCAAAAACATTTCTTCATTTTCTAATCATGTATTCTCTTTCTTCTACGAAGAAAGCATATTCTTTATCTTCATCAAGTCCAGAGAAATTGACTGTTCTAAAGTTAGGAATTGGATTTCATAGTCATTTTCTAATAGGTAATTCGATAGTCTAAAGTGATTTCTAATATTAAATTTGTTCACTCTTAGAATAATTTCACACTCCAATCAGTTAACTTTTAACCAGGAATCACTAGTTTGAAAGATCGGAAGGTTAATCGTTTTACCTTCGAAGATGACAAATTTCCTTGTCACGAATAATAGAAAGCTGTTTGAGATGAATATAAAGAACCATCTTGATTGAGCGATTAAAATGGAATCAATGCGGAAGTCGCTCCATCTAAAAGTAAAATGTTTGGCTTACGAATCAAGGCTCGAGCGATTGCAATTCTTTGCTTTTGACCTCCGCTCAAGAGCATTCCCCTTTCTCCGACAACAGTCTCGTACTTTTGGGGTAGATCACGAATGAAATCATGAATCTTTGCCTGTTTGGCAGCATCTTCGATCTCACTTTGAGAGACATGATATTCTAGACCATAGGTTATATTGTAAGCGATGGTACCACTGAAAAGTACAGGTTCTTGTCCAACAAAACCAATGTGACTTCGTAAATGAATTAAGAAATTAACCCAAATGCTTTACGCTCAAGCAAAACTTTCTGCTGGCCTCGTGTTCAAGATAATCGAAAGTCGATCAGCGATCAACAATTTATCACAAGATGGTCTGAGACCAATCAGGTGAAAGGAAACATTTACGATTTCTGAATAGAATTAATTTTCGTTCTCTTTCTACTTTGGTTAAATAGTAAAAACTAAACGTTTTTTCCTCATTTTAATTTTAGATTTTCGTTAATGAACCAGAGACGAAGAACAATATTGAGAGAAGAAAAACAGAACGAAAGTGGAAAAGAAAAGAAAAGAAAAGAAAAAAGTGACATCTATTGTGAATTTAGAAAAGAAAAAATTCTGTGCTCATGCACCTTGTGGATTTTGGATTTAGTTTCTTGTTTTCTTTCATTTGATTTCACTTGTTTTCATTTTCATTGTAATTTATTTGTTCACTTATTGAGTTTTGTTTCTTCTGAGATCATTTTGTGTATATAACTGTTTTCAATTTATCAACGGATAACATCATCATTATCATCATCATTAAATATGTTGGAATCATTGATACACTTGTGACTTTGTTTTGTTGAATGTTTTAAACATTAAAATAAACCATTGGTTCCGCCCCGACTCTCTCAATGTGTTTGTTATCTGCAATGAATTTCCTATTACTCTAATCTTATTTACTGTTGATGTTTCTAACATCAGCAATTGAGCTTCTCTCTTTCCAAGAGTCACAAAACTGATGAATTTTCTCTTATTTGGTGATCAATACCTGACAGTCCATCGACTGTGAATAGTGTTTATAGTTATTATATTTGACAATCGGACCACCTTCCTATGTTCAGTTGCTCAACCAATGCAACAATCTTGTTTTTGAATTGTGATAAATGTGGCGCAACGGTAAGCGCTTTCCTTGTCCTGATTGTCATAAAACATTCGCAACCCAAGTAGATCTTAAAGCACATCTAATGAGACATATCACCCAACATCCATATGTTTGTTTTGCTTGTGGTAAAGGTTTCAAATATGATCACACTTTGGACTTTCATATAAAAAGTCAACATGGTGCAGAGAATGGAGCCTCCAGTGGAGGTGCTGGCGGCAGTGGTAACAACAATATTGGATCTGGTAAAAATGAACAATTTAACTTGAAATCTTTGAATCGAAAAAGCTGTAAGATGAAACGAGAAGTGCCCGATGATAAGGCAAGTTTATTTGGTACAAGTAACGTTGATGGCCGAAGACTAGTTTCGCAACTGCAAGGTGGTTTATCATCACCGCACGATTTGATCGTTAATAACCATAACAATGTTCCCTCTAACAACAATACAACCTCTTCCACGAGTGGAAAGGCTAATAGTTGTGATGATCGTCTAGTTGTCAATGAGATTTCCAGTGATCTGCGTCATCATTTATCTACTAATCCACTACAATTGACAGGTTTGAACTTATCCTCTGGTCCTGTTGGCCTTGGTCTTCTTGAACCAAGTATCTTGAATGGACTGAAATTTCCTATCGCTTTGAGTTCCTATCCATCTGCATCATCAAATTCATCTCAATCATCATCCAAGTCAAACAACAACACTGTACCAATTGTACCACCACCAATACTACCTTCATCCACAGTGTCATCATCACTTGCATCATCCACATTAACATCATCACTATTAACAACTACAACACCACCTTCACCATCACCTCTTGTATCATCACTGGCACTATCATCATCATCATCTTCATCATCCACATCTTCAACACCAATATCTTCGACCAACAAAGAGAAACTAATGAATTCATCTCAAATGTCTTTGATTGATTTCGGTTTACAAGGCGATATCCTATCTCCGCGAAATTTACAAATTAAATCAGAAAAGGTATTGATATCCATTCTCGAAGGTGTTCATCCAACGAATGAGCAATTGTATTCATTGTATAAATGTTGTTTATGTGGTTTCGCTTTTCCCAGCCTCGAACCTGTCAGTATTCATATTCAGTCAATGCATTCAAACAATTTAAATTTAACTTGTGATAAATGTGGCGCAACATTTAAATGGAAAAGTGAATTACAGTTACACGAACAATTGCATAAAGTGATGGATCAGTCTATCAATAGTATAAATCCAAGTTCAAACAAGTGCAAATCTCATCTACAATTACCACAAGATTCTCATCATTCTCACAGTAATCAACAGCATCAAAGAGAGCAACTCTTGCAACACCAACAACAACACCAACACCCCCAACATCAACATCAACATTACCACCAACAAAAACAACAAAAACAGCAGCAACAACAACAACAATCACGTGCATTGGTTATGCCTTCATTTCTACAACCTAATTTAGTTTTCATGAATCCCTACTTGAGTGGGGATCAACAATTAATATCCAAAGGAGGTGACGAAACGAAAAGAGCTAAAATAAAAATAGAATCAGAGGAAGAAATCAATGGACGAGAAGATGTTGGTCAAGGGTTGAATTTGTGTCTGAAACGTAAACACAAGTCAGAAATTTGTGATGCTAATAACAACAACAACAACAACAACCTTAACCACGACAATAATAATAATGATAACATTATCAAGCATAATTGCATAAACTTTGATAATGAAAATAACATAAATAATTGTAATGCTCATGATAATAATAATCATAGTAACAATACCAATAGTCGCGAGAGAGTCTCCTCAATGGTGATGGATGAGCCAATTGATTTAAAAGTTGAGTCATTGTTTGCTGATTCAAATAATAATATCAATAATATTACACCGATGAACCCACTAAGCTTTTTACATTCGTCTCTAATGCCGCCATCGGTTGGACTATCATTTCCACCGCCAACCGCATCACAATTAACATCAGCAGCAGCGGCAGCCGCAGCATTTGCTGCGGGCATCTCATCTCAACATCAATCTCAGAGTGAGAAAAACAAACAGTTACATCAACATTTTCAAAGTATTGCATCAATGGTGTCAGGAATATCCACCATGACAACGACGACCACTTCAGGACCTGCATCGACATCAGGACTTGGGACAGGTTCCGGCTCTGTTTCGTCGTCATCTTCTTCAGGCAGTATCAATGGAAATGGAAGTGGTTTTTTAAATGTTGGTGAAGTAGTAGGAGGAGGTGGAGGAAAAATTCGAGAACCTATCGGGGATATTGAAGAAACAGCCCCTGGTCAGTTCAAGTGTCGTTATTGTGAGAAAACATTTGATCGTATATTTTCAGTTCATCGCCATGAAAGAGTTCACACAGGGTATAAACCGTGCATATGTAGGGTTTGTGGTCGAGGTTTCAGTGAGAAAAGAAATCTTCGACATCATATCATTCGATTCCATAGCGATGGAAGTGGCCGAGAACTTTTGAAAAGAGTTCGCAAAGAAAAGTCGATATCGGCAGCATCATTTCTAAAGAAAGCTGCTGTTCGTCTTCTCAGCAACTCAAGTTTAGAAGCGAGTGCAATCGGGGAAGAGGAAATTGACAAGAAGCAAAGTGATAAAAACAATAGTGCTCGTGATAACGAGGGTCGCCACGAAATGGCCGAGACCAGAGAGGAGAAGCAATCTGATGAAAGGCCTCGGCCTCGGTCTCGGTCAGACGAGAGTACAAGTGCAAAAACAAGAAACAGAGAGAGTTGCAATAACTCTGATTATAACGAGATTGGATCAGATGCAAATGGAGAACCTTATGTCGAAGATGGTGACAAAATGTGTGCAGTTTTTTCATCTTCTTCATCGTCCTCATCTTCTCGTCGTAGAAAAAGCAAACCAAGTAAAAAAATAACTAATATAGAATCGACTGAGAGAAGTGATGAGGAGTCCGAATTATCTGAAAACATTGCAAGTCAATTTGTGAGAAAAGACGAAAATGATGAGAAGATGCAGATAAAATATGAAAATGAAGAGGAAGATGGAAATGAGTATGGGGGCAGGGAGGGGAATAAAGACTCGTATGGAATAGACGACGAAGAGGAGGACGAAGAGGAAGAAGAAGAGGAAGAGGAAACCCGAGATAATGCGATGGTTGCTGATTATTGTGGTCAGGGTGATGATTCCAATGAACAGGGAGACACCGATGGTCGTGTCTGTACGGAAAAGGAGAGGGACAACGGGACGGAAGATGAGAGAGTCAAGGATTGTGCTGATGAGACCAACAGTAACTGTAATAACAATGATCTCAATGGTTCTTTAGATGGAAATAAATGTTCCAAAGAAGGTAAATTGAGATCACATGGAGCTTTTTTCTCGAATTACAGTCCAAGGTAATTATGATTGTGTGTTGGCCACACGATGTCCATCGTTTTAATTTTGATCTGTTTGATTTCTTAAGACTTGCACTGGTTGACAAAGTATTAAAACGGAGTAAACAAAGTAAACCAATGATTGGACCCGATGGTAGATATTTATATCCATGTGATCACTGCCAAAAGACATTTTGTTCATCCTCTGATCTCAATCGACACATTGGATTCCATGAGAGTAAGGGTAATCTTGATGAATTACTTTTATACATACAATCTTCATTTCGTTGTTGATAATTTTTTTGTTCAATATCTTATTTCTTTATTTACTCATTAGATATTCGTCCATTTAAATGTGAATTCTGTGATTACCAAAGTCGCACAAACAGTCAACTTAAAGTTCATGTTATGAGACATGCTGGTGAGTAATATTGCAAAATGTTTTCTAATTTTACACTTTCATTCAGATTCAGTTCTCATTCAGTTTGGACAATATTTCGCCATTTCAGGTATCCAGTAGGCGCATCGTACTCTCTGCTTTTCTCCATGTTTGATATTCTCCATTCTTTCTAAAATCAGAATACATATAATCACTGAATTTTCTTATTTCATTATTCTTTCTTTTTCTATTGAAGTTGAAGCATAGCGATGTCATTTCCTTTCTTTCTTTTGTTCTCGTCCGGTTTCAATTCATCCATGACTCTACTTTCTCTCTACTAGCACCTTCATCTTCACCACGCCCAAATCTATCATCATCATCTGACTAACAATCATATCAAAATCTTGTTCATTTTCATCATCATTCTCATCTTCTTTCTCTTGATCTGACTTACAATTATTATAGGATCTATGACAGTCCTTAGCAATTTTATTCTCAAAAGAATCAGATATTTACCCAAGAATCATTTCATGCCAATTTTACTGGTTCCTTGTTATCAAGAAGAGTTTCCATTTCTTCATTACTACTTATAAGGTTCTACTTGTCACTATCACTTTTACAAAATAAAGAAAAAAATCACGTTCTCAGGCATGCATGACGACTGATGAAGAAGAAATGAAGATGATGATAGTGATAATATGATGAATAGGTGAGGATGCTGATATGACTTTCAAAAACTACTTTCACTCGTAACTGAAATTGATCTTTGGCATAATTTGGCTATTCGTTTAACGTGAATAAGGGCCTAAATTTTATTCGGTAGTTTCATCAACTGATTGGATTGCATGAAGACAATAACTAAATTGTGGTTGCAAATCAACCGTAGACTTTTTTGTTAGATCTAGAACGAGGATGACGAGGATAATAGAATGATTAAAAACGTGATCTTCTTTATCCTCAGTTACACATTGAACATTCTTGTTGATGTAAGCTAATCAAATCGTCTTTACCTTCTCGACCTTTATCATTTTGTCCAAGTTTATTTTATCAACGTGATATTATCTCTCTCTCTCTCTCTCTCTCTCTCTCTCTCTCTCTCTCTCTCTCTCTCTCTCTTTGCATCGCCTTCAACAATCACCCAACCACTTGAAAACTTTCATTTCAAAAGGTTTATTGTGAAACGCGTTTTCACATGATTTTGATTATGTCTTTCATGTAAACTTGTGTTTGATAACTTATGATATCCTCCTGAGGATAATAAGCTTTGTCACGAGCCTGGGGAAATGAAGAAAAGACGAAGGAGAGAAAGTTGAAGAAAATGAGAGAATCTATCTATTTCAATGGAAGTTGCTTCTAATGATAATTATCATCAGGCATGGCCAATTCATTTTGATGATTCCTATGCTCACTCTGAGATCACATTCATTTATGAAATATCATGTCATAGAATTTGCTGTGAAAATGAAAAGAGAATAAGAGATGAAGAGGGGTGAGCAGAATGCAAGAAGATAAGACCACAAAGTAGAATGAGAGACATTGAGGTTCTTAAGAGACTGAGCAAAGATCGAGAAGCCCAAGTTACTTGTCATTACACTTGCTCATATTAAATTGTAATGCAGACAATCAACAGTCGGGAATAACTGTTCATGATTATCATCAAGACTAATGTTTGAAATCTATTGCATTTCATTATTGTTGCAAACCGAGTGACAATAATTGATTAATATAAAAGCGCTTTTAATTACCCAAACATTAAATTTCCCTGTGCAAATTCAGAGATGAGAACATCATGTATTAACCATGAAACCCAAGCTCACCTTGAATATTATCGATATTATTGATATATTGATACATGAGCCTTTCTACTGCAAACTTTTCACTTTCATGTTGATATTACACCAGCGTAGTTGCAGCGGTTAACTACTCTTGTTTATAATGCAACTAATTGTTGCTAAAATACAACATTGATCGGCTTCAATTAAGAAAATACTGGTAATTCATTGGGTCATGAAAGATAAGAAGACAAACTATTGAGCATGATATTAGTTATTTCATTTTTTGCTCTTCTCACAATGGACTGCAATTCATCACTCGATATGGTTCAGCTCTTCTCTGTGATAGCTCACAGGTATCTCTTTCCCATTGCTAACACCAGCAACCACAATGATGATTTTCATGATCATCATTCTTGATCATATATCCCAACCCCTTTTTGCACTTACTTGAGAAAGAAGCTTAATAACTTTGGACTTCAATTAGATCTCCTTCTTGGTGGTGGCTTTTAACTTGTCTCCAGGGTGCAAAGAGCATTGAGTGTTATTATTAGATCCCTATGGATGGATGAGAAAGAGAACTTTCATCAGAATCTGAAAACATGGTTCGCTTAATCTCCAGCAATTTTTTATTCTACTAATAAACATCAACGAAATGATTTCATGTCCAAGAGAATGACAAACCTTCATCACTTTTCCCTTACTGACTCTCTACACATTAACAAATCGTGAAACAAATTCTCAGTTTAAGAAACTAAACAAACATTTATTATGTTTTCTTATTCACACACATGAACAAACCAATTAATCTTGATGTCGTTCCTAAATATACATGATTTCATAGCCAAGGGTCATCATTTCATCGATCAATTGATAATAATCCCAACACAATTATCGCCATGAGATTTTAATGACTTTTAACTAGTTTTCTTTTTATTAAGAGAAGAATTGACCATAAGTTCATTAATCAAGTGAATAAATTCTGTGTGATTGGCGGAATTACTATTGATACTTCATCTCAATATAAGAAAAGATTTTAAATTGGTGATGAAGCAAAGAGAACAATTCACAAAATTCATTCAGAACAATATTATTGGGCGCATCTTTCATGGGAACAATAGTAATGAGAAATAAACATCCATGCGAAGTATTATCTTTTTTACTGAACAAAAAACTTGATTGTTTTTGATTGTAATATATTGAGTTGATTGAATTGAATTATCTGATTACATTGTAAACATTAGTTACATGGATCAGTGAGTAAAACTTGTTCATCTGTTGATCGATTTTGTTATTAAGCTCAATTGTTGGACACTTTCTTAATTTTGTTACCTTGACGATTAACTAATTATGTCTATATTTTTGTTGTTTAATCTTTCACAGGAATCAAACAATATCTATGTCATACCTGCAACTATAATGGAGTAACCCAATCTGATCTGAATCGTCATCGGAAAACTCAATCACACAAATCAAGAAGTGGGAACATTTGTTCAATATGTTCATTGGGATTTTCCACAGCGACATTACTTGAAGATCACATATTCAAGTTCCACGACAACAACAATAACAACAGCGAAAGCCATGGAAATAATGACAAACGAGGACTATCAGCAAGTCCAAAAGAATCCAAAAATGGATCGTGTTTATCATCTTCACCACTCGAAGCAACTTTATCCGTCTCGATAAAAGATGGACCAACTGCATCGACATCGACATCGACATCGACAATGTCAATGTCATCAGCATCTTCACCAAGAAAAGCATCCAAAACAACAACTCCACCACCTGCAATGTCCGAACCCATGAAAACCGAAAAAGTCAATGAGATGGACAAGAACAACAATAATATCGACATGAATCACAATAATGTTCTAGGGCTTAATGCAAATAGATTTTCAGTTAATAACTTGTTGTAAGTGTTTGCCCGGAAGCAAAAGAACGAGATTATCTGACTGCGAACATTCTTTTGGTCAATCACCTGACTTGACAAACCTCCTCGATTGATGAGCATTTCATTGATTGCTCTTACCTGTTGATTGCTACCAGAGCATTTTATTAGTATTATTACCCGGTCTTCCTGTTTGATTGAATTCCCCAAGTTTCAATTTTTCCTGATCATCTCATCAATGTTATCACTTGTAATTCGAGGTGAAAGTAGTTGAATCTTTGTTAAATATTTCACAATTTTCTAGATACAATGTAATGTAGACTGAGCGAGCTTAGTGCTGAGCTACACTGAGAGTAGACTGGAATTAGCTCTGACAAGATTGAGCCAAGTTGCTTCATCTTTCGGATGTTTCCACAATCAAGCAAAATTATGATGACTCGAAACCAATGGCAATTGCATTCCCACCAAATCCAATTATTTCCAATAACTTAACGAAATGTGAACACAAAATGTGTATTCCTTGTATTCCTTGTATAACTTATTATCTCTTCTTTCATTTGATTGTTTCCACTTTTTAAACCTTAACCATTTCCATTTCCATTTCCATTTCCTTTTCTCGTTTCTATTTTTTTATGAAGGTACAATTTGCCCTAGACTATGTTCCTCATCTGTGAACATGGTGAATCTTGGTCATGATCCAATTAATTGCAATATTTATCGACACCATCAACACCCATTGAAACAGTTAACTGGAAAGTTATCAATGAACAAGAAATCAAATGAAATTAATACGAGCTTATGCCTTAAAATACTTGGTTGCTTTATGGCTTAAATTGATAACTTTTTTCTGTGATTGTACAAATTAAATCATTTATTAAACATTAAAACACCTTTATTATAATATATTATCCACAAATTCCGATTAAAGTCCCGTTAAAGGAGTAATTCGATTTACAGAAAATTGAATATTTTGGTTGAGCCAACTAAACCTTATTGACTTGGAATATTCAAATTCTTGTTCCATTCGATCATCAATGATTCTTTTAAACAAGTGAATGTCTGATTTCAATTAAAACCATTAATCGAATATGATTAACAATCCACGTGATTTAACATCTGAATAATTTTCCTTCATCTCGTCTTCTTTTGAATCACCTGGATTAACGAAACTCAATCTCTTGGATTAGATTTCGTGCATTTTTCCTTCCATCATGGATAATGTTCCAGGATCGAAAAGGATCGATCGAGTTAATCGATATACTCAACGCGCTCAATTCAACAGATCAAACCTTTGGAAAATCGAAATAAAGATGATTAATATTGTGGTCGCAGTTACTTTATTCTCAATTATTATTTCGGCGATTGTTTATGATCGAAGAAAAATCGTAAACATCTAATCTTTGAAACTCGAAAGAGTTTCACAACTTAACCCGTTGTTCGAATAATCGATGGATCGAAATGTCCGTCGGCCTTGATTAAAATCGATTAGAGTTCGATGGATCGAGGGAGAGAGAAAAGTGAGGGACGAATTTCTAAAGATTAAGTTTATTCTCCAGCTGGTAAGTGAACCTTCATTCCAATTGATTGGAAGTTAATCATTAGTAAGAATCTACTAAATTGTTTCCACTCAAATCCATCAGTTCTTTTGTTTTTGTTCTTCGACTTGAGTTTTTAAAGTGATTCCACTTAGTCGCTTTATCTAAAATCCGTTGTGTTTTGTAGTCGCTAAAACACCAGATCTATGGCTGAATTTAGGCCAGAAGATGATGAACTCATCTCCGAACGCTACTCTATTGGTAGTGGTGTTAAATCTCAAGAGTATCGAGTCTCTGGAGCAACAAAAATGACGATTGGAACCAAGAGCCGTAAAGTTACATCAAAAAATGAAAAATTCGTAAATTGG